CAAATTATTTTCCTTTTTTATTCAAAAAGTAAATTCTATGAGATTCTTCTGAGTTAGCGTGTATATTTACTTATTATGATTGCCTCATAGTTATTACACATTAAATTATTTGGTAAAGCTTGTTAAGCATATTATGTCTCACGGACCTAAATGGTTTTTAATACTTTAATAAAAAGAGATTTTAAATTGAATGTTTGAATAGCTGTTTTAAATTATTTATGTAATTAAAATATTTATGTTATTAAAAGTTTCCTAAAACATTCATTTTTAGCTCATTAAAGAATAATAAATATGTACACTGCACAAAATAAAAAACAGACTACTTTAATGGGATTTCTTTAAACGGGCAAACTAAAATGCAATATTGATAGAGGCTAACATTATTTAGCATAGATGATATTTTAAATTAAGAAATCAGACAATACTTTTTTCTGAATAAATTTAAATTTCCTTTGGTGAATAATTTAAATTCTATAGAAAACTCCAGTTCACACTCTAGAAAGTAGTCCTGATAAAAAATCGGATAAAATTTCCTTATTACAATTTAAATTTTTACTTCGCTTGCCACAAGTTCAAAACTATTTAAAAAATATTAACTATTTTCAAAACTGTCTGATCTAATTTCTGCAAAATGTAATTCTCTAAAATTTTTTTATTGTTTTTTATATTATATAATTTATAGTGGTCAAAAAACTTTATTTCAAAGAAATGTTTATTTCATTATTAAAAGCTGGGTCTCAAATAAAGTTTAAAAAAATTTGAACAAAAAATGCAGAATAGGTTTTGAGAAATATAGTTTAAAAAAGTCGTATCTTAAAACTTAGACTTCTCAAGACATATTAATCTGTTTTAACTCAGATTTCGGATTTTTATCTCTTAAATATGTCTAAATGTTTATGTTCCTTGCAACTTGAAACATTTTGACCAAAAATAAATAACAAATAAATAATAATGAAATATACACATATATAAAGATTACACATAATAATAACAAATAATAGCATAAAAATAATATAAAGGTTTCATAAAATAATTCGTTCAAAATGTTTGATACTCTAAAATAGATATAGAAAAATGGGCAGATAATGTTTTCTCCACTCAACTGAAAAAATTATTAAAACAAAATAATCGCTGTTCAAGAATCCGCTTTTTATTTGTATTCAAGGAAAGTTGGTTTTTTGGTCGTATCTTAAAATGTTGCCCTCGTGTGGAAAAATTAGACAATCCGGTCACTAGAGCAAATTATTTTTACATTTTGCAAACAGCAAGAAAAATGATTTCAAAGTTATTATATTTATAATGATTTTGTTTAAATGAAATAAAACAAATTAATATCTTAATTTGTGGGAAAAAAACATTTTTTTAACTTGTTTCTTAAATTGTCATAAGCAAATAGTGCATCGTGAACAAAATTTCCTTGACGATAAATATAATTTTACTAACTTTTAAATCTAAATTTTTCAAATTTTCTATATTATTTCATGGTTGTCTTACATTAATATTGTGTTCCTTAAAATTAGTGTTTTTTTTAATATTTTAATTAACTCCAACATAAAAATAAGTAACTGGATTGTCACATACTAAGACAAATCGGTCATTTATTTAGAAATGACATTTAAAGAACATGAAAATTATTTAATTTTTGTGAAAAAACGTCTTTCAGTTTACGAAAACAACAATAATTTATACCTAATTTTCTTTACTTGCTATGTTAATTTGGTATTTTCAGAATAGGTTTATTATAAGACTTTGTATTGAGATTCTGAAAACTTTTTTGACGTCCAAAATTACTAAAATCACATAGATTACGTAGAAAAGTAGCAATACGTAGGGAAGTGCAAAAAACTTCATATCATTTTTATTTTAGTATTAAAATTTTCCCTAAGGAAAATGTAAAGTTTTGATTAAAATTTGAAATTTAAAACGTTAGATCGTGGAAATAAAATATTTATATATAAATAGTATTAATAGTTCATTTTAAAAATATGAGAATAGGGTTTGGGAACAATACATCTCTGGTCGATGTGCCCTGCTCTTAGGAGCTGCCCAATCTCTAAGACTAATTCTGAAATATGAGAATTTCGCATAGAAAATTTCATCTTCAACATAAAATCGAAATTACTTAATTATATAATTCAATTGATTATGGTCATATGCGCTCTTGTCATATGCGTTCTAATTGATTATGGTCTTATGCGTTTTATAAGACTTTTTCTACTATAAAGATCTAGAAACTAAAACTGGAATATTTTACATAAGATACAAATATTTTTAAAGCTTTTCGAAATATATATTCGAAAAAAAGTATTTCGAATGTATGATCCATTCTTTTAACATAAATTCTTTCTGACGAAAAATCACAAATATTTTTCTCTTAACTTCTTAAATAAAAATTACAATTGCAATTCTATATTTTACACTGACTTTAAAAAAGAAAAAAAGCTATCTTTTAAACTTATAATAAAATAAAATCTTTTAAGCTTATTTCGTTTTTATAGCTTTCATGCATACATGAAAAATTCTTAATCTCTTTACTAATAAGAATATAAACCCCCGCAAATGAATTTTTTATACAAAATAATGCATAAAAATGGAAGAAATAATCAATAGGTTTAAAACCTGAGGAAATGAGCTATGTGATAGAGACGATATATATATATATCGCAAAAAGCATTTCAAGTGTGTATGTGTGTATTTGTAGCTGGTTTGAATGCTTGAAGAAAATTCTTCGTCTACAGTTTCAAATGCCGTATTACTCCAGAGACATTTTGGATTGGTTCTTCCACGCATCTTAAGTGTGGAAATATTCACAGACGCAGCTTTTCCTTAATTTGCCTAAATGTCTATTTCAGCAAGGAGAAATCAAAACTGATATTAAAAAAAGAGGGTTTGGCTTCAAGCGAATATTTACGCTCTTGGGGGAATGTGACAGCTCAATTAATAATGTATCTACTCTCTTTCATATCGTTCGCAAATTTATGCTTTTGCGTTCTTTTTATGGAGTCTTCAATTTATTAAGTTAACATCATCTTCCAGATCATTGTCGGTTAGCGGGCATACGGATGCAGCAAAATATAACAGAGTAAGGAATCTTTGCGAGTTATATTTCTGGTACACGTTAACAGAAGCTCGTAAATATTTGATGAAGAATATATATTCACGAAAACTAAAATATATGAAAGTCTCAAAGAAAGAAGAATTTCCCATGAAAGTCTAATTGTGTGTTCTCGCTTCCCTATAATCATTCTTTCTTTTATATCAAGCTTTCTCTATTATATAACAAGAATTTTCTTCAAATCAAAATTTTCTTGTATTCAAATTATAAACTTTCTCAATTACTCATGAACTAGGATTTCAAATAAATTTTAATATACTTTAAAAATTTCAAACGATTTGCATGGGATTGTTCTGTATAAGAATTACACTATATATTGTAACAAAAAGTATGAGACAACTGAGAGATTTCTTGCCATATTATTTCAAGGAATAAATATTGATACACTAGTTATTATAAATTAAAGAGAAATTACAAATACTGTGATAACCTTCCTGTTACAACTCATTGTAATATATATTTAACAGCCTCAATTTTGCTGTTACATAAGCACTGAACTTTTGGCTATGTCCGTAGAATAAGTCGTCATGAAAACAGAAGAGTCAATCCACCCATTTAGAAGAAAGACTTAGCTGAATTATAGTTCCAACTGTCCACGTCAGAGGAGGATCAAGGATCCGCAGTGAATAAGCTGCGTTAGAATAAGAGCTCACCTATTTGGTTTCAAGTGTGGGAACACTGGTAAAGAGTTTGGAGAGGTGGTTGTTTGGAACTAAAAATAATTGTGCAATTAAAGAATTAATTTATTCGAAGATAGTTTATTGCAAAAAATGATTTTTCATAATTTTAGAATTTTTAGTTTAATGATTTAATTTAATTTAATGAATTTAATGATTAGGATTTTTAAATAATGATCGAAATAATTTTTAATTATAAAGTATAGAAATTTTTACGCATTTAAACAATGTAATTTTAAATGTAAAAATGCAAAAATGCATTCACACCATTGCCCTAGTTAAGTTTTTTTTAAAAAAAATTTCCTTGCTATTCTTTCTAGATTCTGAGCAGCTCAATAAATGTTGTGATTATAAAATTCTAGTTCCAATCTCATTTTATATTGTTTTAACTCATTTATTTTCTCCACCATGTAGCTTTATTTAAAAATAGTTTTTTCATTCTAGAGAATTTCGATATACGCTTTTGTACTGCCTAACCGAGTAAAGTTATTATAATCTTGCATGCGCTCGTATGATGGTTAGTTATTATAATCTCAATGCACTCATTGTAATTCGATTGTGTTTACAATTTGTTGACTAAATACACATTTATGTCTTTTGAAGTTTGTTTTTAAATTAATTATGAATACTTTCGTTTACAGTTTTGTGTAAAAAGTGTTTATTTATGTATACATGTAGAATATTTTTATTTTCCCTCTAAAAAAAACACAGTAATTTTTTTAAGTCAAGTCTATTTAAATCCTTGATCCCCGCTTTTAATAAGTGAACTATATTTGATAAATACTATTTCATTTGCGTGGAAAAATTTTAATATCATGTTTATTAATGTTTCAATAAGTAAGCATACAATTAAAACAATTTTGCTGGTTTTGATCAATTTGTAGAATTTTTCACTTTTTCTTGGAAGCAATTTGTTTAATAACATGATGTCTTGTTTAATAACATGAAAATACTTTACGCTTACTAACTTTCTGTAAGTCTAGAAGTCTTAAGTAAATAAGAACATAATATAAGAAATTTTTAACGGAATTTTTCAAATGGTAAAAGATAAATACACTTGAGAAATTGGTTGTGAATTTCCCTCTATTTCAGAATAATCTTTTCCAGTAATATAATAATTTTTTTTGAAAAACTTAAGTGATTTTTTTTTACATAAGGAATATATTTTTTACTCGTAACTATAAATTTTCCTTATTTTCATATTTAAGGGACATTTTGCTGATGGCAAATGAAGGTACGAAAATGAGAATGGTAAACGAAGATTTTAAGAGAATGCCATTGTTTCTGAAAAGTGAATCTCTAAATGAGCGGAAAAGAGAAAACTTCATATAATTATTTTTTCAATAGTTGAATCTATTCATTTAATTAATTGATTTATCTCCAGGATAAAGTTGAATGAAATTTAGTACACCTCTCATAGATATATATATATATAGCTTATTACAAATTTAAAGGTAAGTTGCCTTTTTACTTCAAATCTATGTTGGTATAAAACGTAAGAGCGCATAGTTTTGCGTGTCCTTTTCATAATGATGTGATCCAAATAAGCTGTGCCGGAATTGTCCGGAGTCTTGTCCATTCCCCTCCCGTAGGGAGAGTGGACGTCAACTGTTAACAATACCAGCCTACCTTTAATAAACCTGTTTAGAACGTCTGATGGATATATATATATATATATATATATATATATATAAGACAATTATGAATGAATTAAAAATAATAGAAAGTTCCTTGACACAAAACTTGGGTTGCGCACTTAGAATTGGGTGAACGGTCAAAATCATTGTCATATTTAAAAAGTTTAAAAACAATTTTATTATTAATTAGGAAAATTGAGAGAACCCCACCTTCCTTCTTTTATAAATAAATTATTTTGTGTAAAACAAATATTGAGATAACAAACATTTAATTGCAATGCAAAATATTTTCTAACAATTTTTATATCGCTAGAAGAAGTAAGATTAAATATACATTAGAAATACAAGTATCTAGCTCATGCTGTTTAAACAAACCAGATCCAGTTAGCCAGATCTTGTAACAATGCTGCTTACATTTTAAAAACTCCTAATTCGGATATTATTATTTTCGTTTATTTTTTACAAATTTTTTTTTCTTCCAGCATAATCAGAATAAAAACAGTTATTTTTGAATAAAAAGTCACATGGAAACAATAAATTGGATTATTAAAGAAGTTGCCGGTCAAACCATTGTGAAAAATTAAAACAGTTGCCATTGAATATTAAGGAGTTGGCTTTGAATTAAGGAACTTCTCAAATATTTAATAATATACGAGTATCTTACCAAATTTCTGCTATCAAGTTATTATTAAACGAAATTCTAGAATTAAACAGAAGCGAATGTTAAATGAAAATCAAAGAAGAAGATTTTTTCCCCGTTTGAAGATCCGCATTCTATTACCGCGAAAACTGAAATGGAAAGAAAACATTTTTTAAGGACGCTAATCAGAATTTAAAACAGAAATATAAAAATTTTCTGAACGTTTTATGTCGAAAATTTGCATTTGTTCACGATAAAAGTTGAACGGTATGGTGGATCTTATGGTATTGGCATTAAAACGGGGAATTTGACTAGATACTAATTTGCATACAAATTAGAACACCATGCAATTCTGTAAAATGCTAGTAATAGATCAGTAAAAAGATAAAATCAAAAGTATCATTTCCAGAATATGCATAGGTCCCCACATGTATTTAAAAGTTTATGGAAAAGTTAGTTCAATCTATAAACGAGATTTTATATAATCATTTCATGATAGCACTCCAAATGTCGCTATTATTGAATGGTGTCCAAATTATTTTTATGTTTAAGCACATGTTGTCCATGGAAGTTACTATATAGTCAATGAGAAGTTTTCTTTCTTCTTAAAAATTATATTGTAGCAAGATGTTTTTACTAATGACCTCTATTGAAAGCACAAAATAGTGACTCTCAAGTAATGAAGTTTCGGATTGTTTACTGTTAGACATTTGTCTGAAAAAATGGTTAAATAACAATTTATTGAATGGTTATTTTAACATATAGTCAAAATAGTCAAATAACCTTAAATTAAATGGTAACCAAACTGGTAAGTTTGAGAAAAACTGTTTATTTACTGCTTTCACCTAATACAGTTAAACAATCAGAATTTTATCGCCCCAACTAAAACCACCTAATGAAGCTACTTAGTTCTTTACAACTGCGTGCATACCATAGCCGAGCGGGAATTACCTATTAATCTCATGACTGTTAAAACTGGAGTTCGAGTCCTAGTGTTGACACCACAATATTCTCTTCAACGCATGGCGAATTTCCAGTGTCCAGCACACTCCAAAGCCTTACGAAAAGCCGAGCTCCTGTATGTAGATAAATAAGATTTTCTTTTCTTTACGATTTTGAAAAATGCTTGTTGAAATGTTTAAAAAACCACTAAGGAAAAAAATATGCTTTACCGTAAAATTTACGGTAAATCGGTTGGACAAACAGCTGCCACCTATTTTACTATAATTTTAGAATACAAATTTTCTGTATGGAGAGGTAATTAAGAAACGATGTGGCTATGGATTCACATCATTCAACTGATTCATATATCTGTCAGCCACTCTCTAGAAACAGCGTTCAACAAATTAGAATTCCCTTTCAGGGAAAAATTAATATTATTAAGTAACTGTCGATTTCAAAATTCATATTTCAATTTTTATGAGCGATTAGAATAAAAAAAGCCGTTTATTTGAAATTGATTATAAAAAATAACGACATATATTTTGAAATATCTATTTGCACAAAATATTGAAATTGTTTAAAACTACAAATCACTCACAAAGTCGCACATACATGACAAAATTGCTCTTTAATAAATATTCATGAACTAGGAGACTACTACGCTTGGTACATAAAATTTTATCGCATTTTTTATAAGTTTACCTTGTAACTAAGCTAAATAAATTTTTAATTAAAAGATATCTGTTTAATAATTCATTTATTAATTGGTTGCTTCTAATAACGCTTGAACAGAGCTTGCTAGCTACTGGCCTTGAGAATCGAGGCAGAAAGGTGTGAGCTTTGATAAGAGTTTATCACTAGAGTGAAGGTGGGGCTTAGCTCTGAACCCCAACTGGATCAATGACAACACTACTCATTTTATTTTATTTTATAACCGACCTTCAACAAGCGACCCAATTCTGAGTTAATGACTATAAATTTCAACTCCATAGCCTTTAAATTTTAAACCCAATCCCGAAGACAACTGAACTCCTGAATCAAGCATTGCGAAAAATTAACCTTCGTGGAAGATTTCTTGACAGAACTAACCCACAATTGCGTTACATGGAGAGGAGAACCGCAAAAACCTACCAAGATTAGACCGACGGCAAGGAGACTCTAACCCATAATCAGTCTACCACTGAGGATATTTTACGTTAGCACTGTGGTTGCTTGGAGCTTATTGCAGAATTCATATCGACCAGTCATCGCTGGAATTCGAACATGGGTGAGAAGAACACTCTATTCCTTGAGCTACCGTGGCTTCAGTGCTACTCAATACGCGAGGACATAGATATGAAAGGAAATTTTCTCTAGATCCCTATACTACTGTTATTGCTTAATACCCATTTTTAGATTACACAGATTTTGTGAGCATGTATGCCAAATGTACACGGTTGGCTGCTTCGAGTATCGAAAATCAGCCCCTCTGCTCTGGATGTCCAAAATTCTGACCACTGGGCTATCACGACCCTCATTTATAAATGAACTTTAATTGTCATATATTTATTAGAGTGATATACTTGTTTACATAATTATCAATAATCGTTTAAGTAATTTTCATCTGATTCAATTCAGTAGAATTTGCATTTTTTATTTATTTTTATTTTCCTTTTTTAATATTCAGGACGTAACCGTCACCTCAATGGGGTCTTAGTAGAGCAAATGATTCTAACTCCGAATCCTGTCAAAAAAAATAGGACTCTTAAAAAACATTTTTCTGCATGCATTACATTAATTTCTATATTATAGGTTTAAGCAAAGATTAAAATGTACTTTTGTAATTTGAGAAAATATTCTACAAATATTTGAAAACGAATATTGTCAAAATTTTTGTTCTGGATGATGTTTAACATAAAAACATTGATTTATCTTAAATTCTAACTCAAGTGTTAGAACCAGAAATATAACTCACCTATATTATCTGTAGTTAAATCACTTTATTTGATGTACTTAATTTCTAAAGGTGATTTAGATCCAAAATTATCAGAGATCAGTTAAGGACAGCAACGCGATTCCATTCATTTGAAACTTCAGATCTATGAATTTAATTTGAATCGAACTCCTCCAGTAAAATTTTATACACGAGTTTTAAAACAATCAATTCTTTAACGATGAAAGCAGAGTTGTCAGAATTACTCATCCGAAGTAGTAACTGAAGTACACAACTAAGTAACACATTTTATGAAGCTCAGTTCTGTTATAAAACTTATTGCTATTACAATTTATGTAATGTATACTACTTTTAGCTAACTTACGTTGTTAAAGCTTAGATAATTAATAAGATTGATTTTTAAAGTTTCATGTAGTAGTTTATTTTATTTTTAAACACTGAAATAAGAAACTCTGAATAATAATTTTGTTTTGCGCTTTTAATCTACCGAAATTGAACGGCGGTCAAGCATAACTCTGGTTAAATCTTATTCTCGGTTAAAAGAGAATCAAATATAGTAGTGAATGGTTTTGATGTATCGTGATGTGAAAATAAAAGAGTAAATACATTTTATTTAGATATTATAACAATCTACTTCTAAAGTGGCAGTAAAAGACAAAAAGTATATAATTGCCTCATTTGATTGAAATGATCTACCATGCGTGGCAGAATAAACGCAAACTGAAAATGAAAGATGCATCTAGAGAAAATTAGAGGAATCTTTACACATTTTGTTAAACATGAAAATAATGTCTGGTAGGACCATTCAAATTTTGTGATTATTAGTTCAGTTTAAGCATTTCAAGAAATTCTATTTCCTTTTTTAAATCTTTAATTACTTATGTCTTATCCTAATCAGACTTTAATTATATATTCCTAATCAGAAATTAAAATTGGAATTGATACTTTTTGTTTATAAAATTTTAATTAGTGTTATAAATTATTTTTCGCCAGACACTTTGATACATTTTTGGACATGGAGTCAAAAAATAGAAGTCCTTAAGCATGAAAATCTTAGTTCTTTTTATAGTTTTCAGTAATTTCCTATTGAATCAAAATTTCTGTTGATTTTAGAACTGTATTTTAAACTATAAGGCAGCGTTTCAAGTTAAGCTTAAATTATTTTAAGCAATAAAATACTCCCGCTTTTAAATAACCAATAAAAATCAGTTAAGAAAAATTTGTGAATGAAATTATTCATTTTTTACTTATGGGTATAAAGAGACATTAAATAGGATTCTCAGAACTTGGGAAAATAACAAC